ACCTGGGAGTGAAATATTCTCCCAGGGCCAAGTTCAGTCAAATTTCGCAATATCAAAGAAGTTGGCCCACGAGGCAAAAATCCAAATTACTCCTCCACGTCGTTATTTCGCTCCCAACGAGTTTGACTCCTATCTTCGTCTCATCTAGTCTACAAGTACGACCAAGTACATCCTCATTCCAATGACCACACCACTCTTCGACCTTCTCTGGCCTCAGCTGGTCACCAAATACACGCCCACGCCGATATTTATACCCCACGGAGGAAGGAAAGCGTGGCGCACAAATCTGGGAGACAGTTCTTTGGGATAGATGTGAGAGGGATCTGGACAAGTTGACAATATGATGCGAAGGACGGATATAACCTCGAAGGGCATGAGATTCCGAATTTTGGCAAGGAGTTTTTCGAATTGGGCTTTGTGCGCGCCAAGACTTCGCTTGCGAGAGTGCAGCTGACACTATAAAAACAAGCAAACGATGGAAGGTGTTGTGGTCCGCCTCCTGGTGATGTTCTCCGGTATGGTTTGAGTAGCCTGGGCACCTACTCCACTTGGGAAGGAGATATCTCAGACCATATTTCGCGCGGAGAAAAGTTGAAAGATGATGGAGGCATGTCTGGATAACTCAGGGTTTTTGAGACGTTCCCCTGGATGGGTATTCACGGATGAGGGTTGACTTGGGGTGAAGAAAAAGCCACCATAACTCCGCAGTGGTACTTGCAAATGAAATCTGAGGCATGAGTGCTCTTCCTTAACGATGAATCATCTATTCTGTACTTTTCTTTGATATTGTGTCATAGCTAGATAGCTGCATATGCAATTAAAATCTGATGCAAAAAAAAAAAAAAAAAAAGAAACACCTAGTACAGTGCTACTATCCTCTTTTTTTTACTTGAAAGATATCTCGTTTATTGCCTGTGATGAAAAGCCATTTAGCTCTGTATCTTCCCGTGTTATGGAGGAAAAGCCATCCGATGAGCTTCTGGAGCGTACCCAGCACCCGATACGGAGATGGTGGATTGGATCAAGATGACCTCAACTACTATTGTTTTGTTTTTTTAGGTAGAAGGTGCTGGGGAAAAGGTGGCTGAATTACACGGGTAGATATTGGGCTGAACGGCTATTCATCGCAGGCAATAAATCAGATATCTTTCAAGTAACAGAAGATGATAGGAGCACTGTACTAGGTGTTTCTTGGGTTAGAGAGGAAGCCCTGTGGACTAGATAGCCCTAGACTCAATTAGTGCAATAAACAACAACAGATCCCGGCGATTGTGATCCTGGCATAAGATACGGTTGGCTTTCAAGGTTTGGGTAACCTCAGTAGGGTTTATTCCTCGTAGGCAACATACATCGAAAGCACAGCAATAAATTATGTGTTTTCAAAATACTGATGTCGGGGCGTTTTAGGGCTTGACACTTAAGATCAACTGACATACAAATGTCAGAGTAATATTGGAAAACATAAGCCATAAAGTTAAGAACTGATTTGATAGAATCATTCGTAGTCTTTCACCTTCCGAGACTCAATAAATACTCAAATTCATATTAATAAATCAATTAACCTGGGAATTTATTGGTTGGGGGGGAAGCCCGAAATTTGGTTAAGCAACAGGCGAGTAGCTCGTGAGCATTTCGCCGGAATGAACTCATAATTTCTACATGAACAAAGTAAAGGTCCTTGAGGTTCCCACAATCTGGACTCCATTTTGATCCGGATCGGTATACGACTGTTGGCTGATGGTTTGGTTATTAACATGATGAAGGCATTGGCAGAGGCCGAAACACGCGCCTCTTCCATCCAACCGACTAATGCAAGACGACCGCTCGGAATCTCTAGAAGGCCTGGCTTGGAGATATTTGAAGCAGTAAGAATTGAAGTTAACCTCCGATACTGAGTGCAGTATAATTGCCCTGGTAGAGGTTGGGTGATGTTGTATCATCCTGTATCCGATCGGCAAAATCTAGATGCGCCAGAGTATGCTAAATAATGAGGATGAACACGATCTCTGCATTACTCACGTACATTTGAGCCGCGGCAGGAGGGTTGACAAGGCCTCGCGTGCTCACTAATTGAGTCAACCGTAAGCGATCGCCCGGAAAGCTTACCCTTCTCGGCCCGCGAACCTGTTTGGCTACGTGGAAGGGATTCGGCTCAGACACAGCGTACACGTCGCGAAACAGACTAGTACCCTATCACAGTTTTGTGTGGTACGATCCGTTTCGGACTGTTGCTGAGCACGCCACCCGAAAAAGATAGCTGAAATCAGACTCGAAGAATTCGGGTACACTCCAGTCTTCATGACTATCGTTGCGCCACGTATTCGAAAGGGAGTGTGAGCTTGACCTAGACACCATCTGCAGCTCGAATTGCCAGACGAGCAGGATAGAATTTCCTGACCAGTTTACCCGACGCATGTCTCTTTATCCATCACAGACTCACACGTTCCATCGGCGGCCAATGCTTCACGCCATCCCCGTTTCACCATGCTTCGATGAGTACGAGCGATGCGCTGCCAACAACTTTGACTACACCGCCTCTAAAAAAGACATCGCGTCTGACCATTGGCCACCCTGAGTCTCTCGTAATCTTACGCAAAAGTAGCCTCCACGAGACGCAAGCCTCACCTCTGAAAACTGAGCAAATTATCTTCTTGTCGGATCACGACAGGTCGGTAGTCAAATGACAAGTTCAAGGCCAGGCGGGTCTCTTGAAGATATATGCTAGTGTCAAGCTAACCGAACTAGCCTCGCCTTCAACAGTTTACCACGAACACTTATCTCTGATCAGGACGCCTGTGCCACACTGATGACCCTGGCTCCTGGAATCAGGTGCAACATGGTCCTGTACACCTGATTTCATGGAGATTCCATCCCACTAAACTTTTACAACAACCGTTCATTCTCATTAAACAGTCTTATGTAACATATTAGTTATCTCTGTCTACAAGCTACAAGCCAAATGTATTCATGGCACTGAAATATACCGCCTCTCAAGTCTTCAATTAGCCACACAACCATAGATGTGTTTACTTTTATTTCTCTCCAAATAACCAATAGATGACTGTTTGCGGGTGGGAGGCTGTCGACAAGTTTCGCAATAGCTACTGGGTCCATATTTGCCCTTTTAACGACATGATTGTTGAAACTAAGGCATTCATACATTTTTATTTGTTTATGTTGATTGTCCTGCTCATTCATTTATTAGGGAATGACGTACAAATCTAGTCTACCGACAAGCTGCGAGTATCTATGCCTTGAGTAGTGTATCCCCCCTTGTGCACCCTTCACGGCGTTCCGTCAGCCGGGTTACTTTGTTATACTACTTGAGTCAGCGATAATACAGCTCACAGGACTCTTCTTTGACCCAGGCCACACCTTTTACGTTGCTCCTATCCTCTTTTGTTACTTGAAAGATATCTTGTTTATTGCCTGTGATGAATAACCGTTCAGCTTAGTATCTTCCGGTGTAATTCAGCCACTTTTTTAGCCAAACCTTCTACCCAAAAAAATAAATAAATGGTAGCAATGCAAACTACGTGCGCGGGAAAAAGTCTCAAAAAACCTGTAGTCCCAGCCAGGCGAGGCCTAGACACTGGGACTACATGAGGTGCGCATATTCATCTAAGTTTCCCTTCTTCGTAATAGTCGAAGCCGACTTGATCCAATCCACCATTTTCGTATCGGGTGCTGTTTAAGCTCCGGGAACTCATCGGATCGCTTTTCCTCCATGATCAAGGATTGATGATGAGAAGGGTGTTATGATTATGGGCTTGCGGTAGTCAATGAGCTGAAGCTCCTGTTAAGCATTATGCACAGGACTTGATAACCTTATGGTCTGATTGTTGTGTATTGAAGACTATATTGATCTAATGAAGAGAAGAATTTTCCTATGTACAAGAATGAGGTGTCTATGCACTGAATATTTCCAAACATAGCTGCCACTCTAATTTAATGTAATCCACAGAGACCACACATTACAATAAAGGTCTTCGACCCTACTATCTGACTTGATAGTGGTTAGCTTCATGATAATGGTGATAGTGGGATGCATTATGAGATGGAGACGATACAGACGGCGAAAGCGATTGGGGATCTTGATCGAAGTGAAGACTTTGTAACTCAATCTCGGCTCTGCAGACTTAACAGTGAGACCTAGAGGTTCGTGGGGGACACCACCAACAGGTGTTGAAAATAGTCACCCATCGAAGAGAAGTTAGATTAAGCACATGACAAGGAAGAATATAGTCTAGGGATGAGCAACGAATAGATTATCGGGAGAGTATTTCAAATCTAGACAATCTACGGAAGAAGGCTTAGGTTACAAGTACAGTCAAGACTTCAAAGATAAAAGGGGAGGCATGGTCCGCCGTCTTCGTTCGGTTTGCTCAAGATGATTCTAATTAGCCTACCACCTTCCCTTACCCGAGACGGGAAAGTTATGAGACCAAATTCCTTGCTCTAACCAAGATTGGGGAGATGATGGCCTGTTGCGTAGTTTAAGGGTTCCAGAAATTTTCGGCAAATTTTCGGCAAATTTTCGCAGTGATAAACTGGATGAAGTCTCCACTCCCTTAAGTTTGATCAGCGAATACGCCCGTGACACTAATGTATAATGCAAGGGTTGCATCATCTTTTTAGATCAATCGCCATGAAGGAAAAGCTGGCTTTCTGGCTCTTTTGTCCCAATTAAGGAATCCACAGAAAAGTAAAAACTATTTTCGTGAATATTTAAATTGCAGAGGCTCTTAGAGTCCTGATAATTTTCGCTCGTTTCTTCTGAATGGTAATGTTTTCCTAATCGCCAAGGGTGCTTGAAAGAGTGGAGTCAAGTTAAGACAACCAATCTGCTGAAAGCAGGAAGCAATAAGAAGATGGGAAGATGAATTACGATTTGTGAGCTTACTGCTGTATTTTATGGTAAATTTGTCATACGCTAAATCCAACCAAATATGTTGCGTCAAATCATTGCAAGTCCGGTGAAAAAGTCTACAACTTCTCATTTATCCTTCAACTATCCAAATCTAAGCGGCGGGGTCAGCATTTATTATTCGAGGAAGGAATTCTTTTAACTAACCTCCATCTTACCGACGTCTAACTGATTTCGTCTGGCAGCTGCTTTAGCTGACATGATAGCCATGTCAAGATCATCTTGGTCGCCCATGGTAATCATATCACCATCTGGAGTGTCATCTTCTCGAACCTTAATCTTGAACCGCTTGCGCAGCCCAAACTTTTCTCGTACCCGATCAACTAGGTCTGGAAATTCAACAGATGCATCCACCAGTACATAACGCACATCTTCACTATGTACCTTAATGCGTATCTGTCGAACATCCGACCTTCGAGAGTTACGATTTCCTGCTGGAAATGTGCTTGAACGCCCGTTTGCCTTGCCGGATACGATCTCAAATTCACCTTCTTCAACAGAATCTCCATCATAGTCACTCTGGTCCTCTTCATCGACGTCTCCACCTCGAGTATTTCTTTTTGGGCGATTGCTAGATCGGTTTGGGTTTTTACCATTGTCATTCGAGTACATATCATAGACATCGCCAGGATATGTATCTTTGTCTGAGTCAGAGGGTTTAGTGATTCGTCGTGCTCGTGATTGCTCTCTAGAGGCTGGTTTTTTCATACTTGCAGCTCTAGAATCAGAAAATCGTGACCTCATATTAGTCTGCAATGGACTTTGTTCATCATTCCTATCACTTGGCCTACTTCTCTCTGTGCTAATGCTCCCAAGACTCGGTCTCATGGCATTTTTAACAGAGGCTGCTCGACTCATGGAAGTTTTTCTATCCGATTCTAGTGGGGGTATTGACGCAGCAGCATAGGAGCCACCTCCTTCTCCATCTTGTCGTTTGCTGGTAAGATTCGGCTTCACAAGATTTGTTGCTGCGAAAGAAAGATTTTCTGCTGGTCTATCATCCTTTACATCGATTTTTGCAGCCTAGAATCGTAAGATTTCACAATAATGAATTTTCAGTAGGAAAACAAACATTTTTCATTTCGGACCCAGCAAATCCAGTGAATGCGTTAGACCGATCAGATGCAGCAACCAGTCGAGCTTTCCCGAGATAGTCTTTAGTTTTTAAGTTTTTAACTTTAGATTGATTCGGTCGATATACTACACCAACTGGTATCGAGAATACTGTGTATCCCTAAATCTTATTAGTGACTTATTATTGGGTCATGTATCTAAACGGCAAACCTCAGCCTTTTCTTTGATCGCCTCATCAATGACCTCATGGTCTTCTATAACCTTTTCTTTTGATGCGTAAGAAAAATCCTGCATGCCATTTTCTTCCTGCTCGAGATACATGTAACAGAGACCACGGTTGAATAGAGCTTCACAGGAGTAAAGTTTGAAGGCTAATCCAAGCTGCGCATAATCGATTAAATTATTGCCTCTGAGGTACAATAAGGTGTCGTTAAAATTAGCTAGTGCTTCCTCAAAGTCACCCAGAAGAAAGTTTGATACTCCCTGTTGAAAATAGGCAACAGCGAGGTACTGGTCTAAGTTTATTGCTTTTTGATACATTTCAATCTGGTAAGTTAGCTCCAAGAAATAGCAGGATTGCGTAATGATACCCACAGCTTTGTCATGTTCCCCTAAGGTGGCATGGATTACACCACAATTGAAGTATATTTTTGAAGTATCTTGAATCTCCTCGAATCCCTTCAATGCCTCTTCAAATTCATTATTATCGTAATGGCTCAGAGCTGCTACCCATGTTTCGATTTCCTGCCGGGTGTGTTAATTTGTGTGGCATTTGCTGCTTAGGCAGATCATCAGCCGTACCTGCTTAAGTGACATGACGAAAAGTTAGTTTTGTGCCCAGCTAACGCAAAGCTTTTGCACATAAATTATCTAGTAAGTCAGATTCTAATACGGCCTGGCGATAATGCCTTGTGCCTAGTGTGTAATGCGAGCTTATGGAATTCGATGGCGCAGGTAGTTATAGAATAGGCCAGTGAGCTGTTGTTAAACCCTAGTCTTTTAGTTCGCTGCGGATGTTCCAATAATTCTCTTTTAAGATCCTGACCAGTCAATGTATGCGCACGCCGTGCCGGTCGCCACCGGTTGTAGTTTTAGTTGAGTGAGTAGCGACAATTGTTTTAATACCCAACCACAGAGCTTTACGGTATATGTCTCTTTTGATATGAATTATCAGTAAATCAAGGAGGAGAACTCTTAATAACCTAGGGTCTTATTTTTGTGATGGATCCCCTGACCTAGGTTATCTCTAAACTCGAGTCCACAAATGTTTAGCTTTGACACTGTTTCTCTCTGAAACTCATGTCCGCTACAAAATGGTTTGAGCGTCGTTCCACCTTGCGAGAACTTCCTAATCGGCTTACCTGCCGCTCTGGAAATCTTGGTGTGGTATAATCGGCAAACAATTAAAGAATTTCCTCGTCAATTTCACTAATCAGTGAGGATAAGCAATCTTTATGATTTATATCTGACAATTTAGGATAGAATATTAATGTAGAAACGGAGGACTTGGGCTAGAATCTTGAACATTTATCATTTCAAGATTTGTCCACCAACTAGTAGGAAGATTTCCTTTCAAACCCTTCCCCATTCTCACATAGACAAGCTCAACCGCTGTAATAAGGGTGTAATTTTGGCTTTACTTCGTGGTCAGTTTGTACAGTGATAATTGCGTCCTGCTTACTCTGGAAACTATAAAAAGCAGCGTCTAGTAATTTCCATACAGCCACGTGACTCGCACATTCATAAAGTTTGTTAGACGTACAAGGTATCGGTGATCTTGCTACATTAGGACTGTGATTACAGTATAACATATTTATTTCCTTTCCATGTAAAGATTGGAAATAACTATGCTACAGATTTTGTTGTCCCTCCTATACCTCCTTCACGGCTTCTTTTCGTCAACTAAATTTGTTTTATAGTCCTACTTAGACTAGTGATAATTCTGCATACAGTGTATTTATCTTCTTATGTTACGGAAAAGCTCTGTAACAAAACGCCCATAATGAATAGTCATCCAGCTCAGCATCTATCGACGGGATTTAGCCTTCTTTACAGTGAAACCTTTACATGAAAAAAGGAAAAAGAGGTGTTAAAAATATCACGCGACTAAATTGACACTACATTCCTCGAACGAAAGAAAAGGTTTATAAATGAGTGCTATGCTCAGATTACTATTAAATAAGTGACATAGGAGAAGAAAACTCAACTCGTGTCAGTGGTATTCCCTGCGGACCTTCTGCTCTAACTATAAGATTTACACGGCCAAGACCAAGCAAAAGCTTAGTTCTCACCTCGACCACAATATCCAAAGGCTCTCGCAGTCTCTATCGTCTTAGTCTCTCAGCATATTCCCCTGACATCACTATCGTGAAGCTGACCACGATTAGATCAGACAGAATGGCCAAAGCCCTAATAATCATCCACTCACTTTTCTTATTCAAAGAAGAGAAGCCATCCGATGAGTTTCCTAAGCATATTCAGTTTCCAATACAGTGGTGTTGGATTAGATTAAGCTGACCTCTTATGTCTCGAGGAAGGGAGATATAAACGAGTATGCGCAACTCATGTGGGTCTGTTGTTCAGGACTTGCCTGGTTGAAATTAAAGTTTTTTTGATAAGTTTCACCGCGCACGAAGTCTTCATTGCTATCATTTTCATTTACCCTGGTGGAAGGCTTCGTTAAGAAGCGGGCCTAAATTCTCCGGTTCAATACTGAGCTGAGTGGGTATCTACTAAAGGCAATATATCGGAGATATTATTTTGAAATAAAGAGGACAAGAGCACGTAAAAGGTGTGGCCTTTTTCAAAGAGGGGCCTCTTTTACATTTATGAGTATATTGAGTGCGTTGTGAGACTATCTTGAGAGTGAATCGAAGGAGGTGGATAGATGAGGTCGTAGATATTTAACATCTGTTGAAGCTTCATATCCTCATATTTCAACTAATCCTACATATAAATTATTTACTTGATGCCGCCTCTACATAAACATGTCATCTACTCCCTACCTATCGGGGATCTAACTATCTACAGTATTCTGTTTACTTCATTATGACCTAATCCCATATTATCCCATTACATTGTATAAAATTGTACTCTACCCCATCATGTTCCATTCTACTATGTTGTGTTTCATCCATTGCATAGTTATGGAAATGCACTGATCTGTGAGACGACCTGCAGGGAAACATTCGTATACTAACTGGAACACAACATTTTTTGACATATTTAGCACAAAAAATGAAACCGTACAAGTGGGTGTCATATATAGATTACTACCAAGTGAGTGGAGGCTGAACGCTTGTACTTACATGACAGTTAACTTCATCCAGCCCGAACTCAATCGAACTCAAGCTACCATAGGAGTGCGGAGGGTGCTGATTGCCTAACACATTTGTAAACAAACCAAAGCAGTAACCTGACTACTCAGTTAAAGTTGTCCGAGAAGATATTAGTGACAGAACCTCAAGCATTTAATTGTGTCCTGCCCCAGATGGTCTAGTGGTAGAGCGGAGCCCAGGAGAATGCCTTAATGACGGTCACAAGAAGCAATGATAAACAGCCCAGGGGACATCAAAAGAATTACACTCTGGATACTTAATCATCGGCGGATTGAGCAATTCTAAAATATAAAAGATGTTGAAATAGCTCTGAAGAAAGGAACAGGTCAAGCAATTCTTGAGGTCCATAGAGAGAGTGAGGTTGACTTACATGGATGGCGCTATGTTGCAATTGCGCTTCCCAATGTGCAAGTGCGAAAACCAAAGACAACAAACAGAAAGGTCTAAAGTTCTTCTATCACAAAAGGGTTCCTCTTGTGTAAATATCATAATCCTCAGACGCCTGGATGGGCCAATAGGGTGCCAGATCAGGATAAAGGAATCAAATTCAATGTAATATAAAAGCTCTTCGCCACGACAATAATTAATGTAAATTTTGCAAAACTCCCTTTATAAGGATCTCTAGGTCTGGTTTACAAGTATTTTGAAAATCGTCCTGCACGCATCATAATTAATTAGATATTTCCAGGAGAGGTGTGTTTATTGTACTACTTGAGTCATAACTATCTAGCACATTGGGCTCCTTTCTGTCCCAGGCCACACCTTGTACAATGCTCCTTGCCTCTCATGTTCCTTGAAAGATCATTGATGTATTGCCCTTAGTGAATAGCTATTCAGCTTAGTATCTTTCGGTGTAATTCAGCCACTTTTTCTGCCAAACCTTCTACCCAAAAAAAAAATATATATATATATATAAAAATAAATTAAATGGTAGCAATGCAAACTGCGTGCGCGGGAAAAAGTCTCAAAAAAACTGTAGCCCCAGCCAGGCAAGGCCTAGACACCGGAACTACATGAGGTGCGCACATCCATCTATATCTCCCTTCTTTGTAACAGTCGAGGCCGACTTGATCCAATCCATCATTTTCGTATCGGGTGCTGGGTAAGCTCCGGGAACTCATTGGATGACTTATCCTTCATGATCAAGGGTTGTCAATGAGAAGAGCTTCGACTTTACATCTGATCGGATCGCGTTTAGCCTCATGGTAATGGTAATAGGGGAATGTGTTGAGAGACGAAGACGATGCAGGCGGCGAAAGCGATTGAGAATCCTCGTCGAAGTGAGGACTTTGTTACTTAATCTAGGCTCCGCAAACTCTACAGTTAGAGCAAAAGGTTCGTAGGCGACACCACTGACAGATGTTGAGAATAGGCTCCCAGAAATTTCTAAGAGGCTGTGTCGAAGAAAAGTTTTAAAATAATACATCTAACATCAGTTCCTTACGCCTGCATGTCGTTCCTAAAGAAAGATTCTGTGGGTTTTCTCAACGTAGCCGGAAAAGAAATAACCAATCTTGATCACAGTCCTCAGCCGAAAATGGCCTTCACGTGTTAACAAGAAGGACGTGTTCACCTATACATGTCACGTGAGCACGAGGCCATATTTTAGGTAACTAGCCTAACGGCTCCTATCTTTCGCATTCTCCTGTCCAACAAAGGTTGACCCGTATTTCCACTGAGCGGCATCAAAGTGACTGCGGCAGCATATTGAATTTATACTGACTCCACCCAACGATATCAGGCCGTGAGTTACTGAGGGTTTGATCTGGGAATATCTAGGCTTTATTATGTCTCAAACCAATGGTCTCGTAAGTTCTCTATACGAAACGAGCTGCAAGGAAAATCTGCTAAGAGCTGGTATTGCAGACGAAGCTTGCTTACTCGCGCACCTGGCACCACATTTCGGCCACCAAGCCGCATTATCAGCTCAGCACCATTCGTCCACGCGTCGCGCCCACCTCGCCCGAGATTACACCACCTTCGCTCGGCCGCCTCGCCTCCCGTATAGCTGTTTTACTTATGGGTAAGCACAAACCCATTTGGGACCCAGCTACCGACTGTGGCGACTACGTGATCGTGACAAATTGCGCGCATTTACATACGACAGGCAAAAAGCGTTGGCAGAAATTGTATTATCGTCATAACACCAGACCCGGCAGTCTCAAGCAAATAAGCATGGATGGCCTGATGGCAAAGCTGGGTGGTGCGGAGGTCCTACGCAAGGCAGTCAGCGGCATGCTGCCCAAAAACCGTCTACGAGATGACCGTCTCGGTCGCTTAAAGGCTTTTGAAGGAGAGCGACATCCATATAACGCTAATATAGTAAGATTCGGCGGGAAGAAAATGTCTAGCGATGTTGGTGGGCTAAATATAGTGAGCTGAGTTTAGAGAGCGAAGATGTTCATGGAAAAACATGTGTACACGAAATATTGCTTTATGGGTCTCCAAATGACAGAGTCGAGGTTGTACATCAATTTTCCGACTTTAACTAACGTCATCAACAAGGGAATTCATCTCGACACCTGAAAAAGGGCGAATCCGATAATATTTCGTGTTTTATACACAGAGCTGTTCACCTACCAGCTTCCCGCTCTAACGCAAAATATCAAGAGCTCTCCAACAGCTTTTTATGACAACTGACTCGGGAGAAATACAGTACAACCTCACTCCTATGGGAATGTAACCATAATGAGTATATCTGCCACTCTTAGCTAACTGACCGTACGTGACATAAGTCCAGCTGTTTCGCTAGAATATAGAAATTTCTCCTTAAATACCCACAATCACGCGCCTCATGGCACCTAAAATTTCAAATTTACAAGGATTAAACCATCCTGCTTGATCCAGTCTGCCAACTTGGGCCGTACGCCATATAACTGCAGATCTGATGTACTATACCCTATCATTATCTTTCAAGTTCCATAACCTTGCAACATCTAATACTTTCTTGGGAAGCTTCGCTTGGATTGCATCTTCGATTCTTCTAAATTCTCTACCTTTTTGGATATACTTCCTAAGCTCTCTCACTAATGAGCTGTTGGCCGGCACATCAGGGTTCATATCTAGACCGCGCTCGTGTATTTTTATGCGGCGCTTGTTTACCTCACGATATTTCTGATTCGCAAGGTCGCCGTTGGGATAGTGGCCTAACTGATAATTAATTGACCATCGATCTTTTTTCGTCAAGTTCTCAGGTCGTCCCACATAATTTCCGTTGACTTTATTCTGGATTTGTAGTTGCATGACTAAGAATGGGCCGTTTGGTGAGCTATCCATAGCTTCTGACTCGCGCTGTGTTTTGTGACCATCTAACCTGCTATTAACTGCGTCTTCAATCTTGTCGCTACGCATGATTTTATCATTCAAAGACTTGTTTCCGACGTTTACTTCCTGGGGGGCCATCTCAGAAGCCTCATTTTGGACCTTGGTTTCATACTGAACTGTGGGGCCTGGAATATCACTTTTTATCTCTTCTACCTGAAAATCAAATGTGTTAGCGCTGAGCTTCTGAAACAAACTTAACTTCATAATGCTCACTTCACCGTCTTCCTCATAGGAGACATCTTCGTCAATAATGTCTCCTTCTATAATATCCTCAAGCGTATTTCGCTGCTTGTGGTATCTTTCCAGGTTTGACGCCTCTAGTTCCGGTCGTTTCACATCATACTCATCCTCTTCCCCAAGGTTTCCAATTCCTAGAACTCTTTTTTCGAAAGCTTCAATATTTTCTTTAGCCTTGGTCTGAATCATTTCTGCTTGTTCATCTTCCATAGGCTCCACTATTATTGTCATGTGTGTCCCCTTAGTCAAAGTTTTTTCCGGTGTCTCAAAGAAAATACGTAGCGTTTTATATGGGAATTTTTGGGTAGCACGATCAAGAATTTTGTTTAGCAAATTCAAACTAAGTTTAAATTCGCTATCCCCTGTGGTAGTATCCTCGGTTCCATGGATGGCATAGTCCATTTCCCCAAGACTTATATACTGAAACCCAAATATTCGGGCCGTATTGTGAAAGGCAACAAAAATTCCGTCCATCCGTCCCATTCTAACCTGCATGGAATATTTTAGAAAAGCTGCTCGTATCATATCATAATACTCCCTCTCAAATGATTCCCATTCACCTTTACTCTTTCGAATTTCATATCCCTTACTATTTTCATATTCGGAGACATCCATTCTTACCGAAACAACGCATCTGGTCTTTAAGTCAAACATACCAGTGCCTGGCAAGCGCGAGTCGTAAGCATCCAATTGAGATCGTAGGAGGAAATCTCCAAATGTTGTGTAGTGATATGATTCTTTTTCATTTCGTTCTTTCTCGGTTAATTGATCGGAGTTCTGACGCCGATACTTTTCAAAATGCTCGGTTGGGAGTGTGAGTAGTTTCTCCATAGACTTACCTAGCATTGCTAGGATGTTACTTTTATCAAATTCCTTGTCAGCATCAATGGCGTAGGTTCCGTTCCTATACCGCAAGAAAATTGATGCTGGCGCGCGGGTAAATGAGGTAAAATTACTAGTCTTAAGCTTTACTGGCAAGGTGCCAGAAAGTTGTTTATATTCAATAGGTCGCCAGTCCGAAAGAAGGAAATGAAAATGACTAAGTACAGCTGACATACTTGAAGTAGAGCCTATGTATTTCTTTTTCTCCCTGGCAGCTTTTGCGAGAAGAATTTTATCATGAGATGAAGTTATGTATGGTGATAGGGCGCCGAAATCAAACTGATTAACAGGCATAATCTCTTGTAAATACGGATCAAAATTGAAGACCCTTGTTCTAGGATCCTGAAGTTGATATACGCCTTGATTGAATAAAACTCGATCCAGACCATAAGAAAGTGTTGGTACATGAATTTTTTCTTCATCGACTGGCTGAAGCAAAAATTCCGATGCCTCCATAGTCTGAATTTTATCGTGTTCTTTTGTAAACGATACTCTAGTACCCACAATCCCTGTGAAAGGGATTAAATCGTTAAATTGTGGTGTACGAGAAGACCGGTTAACTGTTTTTAATACTTTGAGCACAGTCTCCTTCGTCTCATCAGGCACTGGCAGGTTTTCTACTGCGCTTATAAATGGGCTCCATAGTTCTTGTGAAGACGGACGTAGCTTAGCCGGTGCTGAAGATCTGCTTTCTTTGATTGAGGAGCCTTTGTCTTCTTTCTCTACTTCACAAGAAAGTTTCTTGTTAGGTATTTTTGTCTGTCGTCTAGATGACTGGCGTTTTTTCACTTTCCTGACATTGTCTGTGATTACATGGGACTTAGTCTTCATGTTGGCATCATCGAGAACTTTGGCATCCGGTGTTGATTCATCACGGACATCACCTTTTCGGAAAGCCTTCCTGCACCCAAGTTCCTCATCATTTTCATCTTGGGTTTTTGACGTTTCCTTTCGCGAGTTGTCTGTTAAGGGTGGGATAGCTCTACTCTCGCCTCTCTTTCGAACTCTTGATCTTGTCTTTCTAGCCTTATTATTTGAAGTTTCTTGAGGCCCTATAAGTTTGTCGACTGATTTGGATGAAAAATGTCGGTTATTCAATTCGCCAGATTTTTTCGAGTTGAATTGGCGCGAACTGTTGAAAGTCTTTCCTGGTATTTTTAGAAGCAATTTATAATTGAGTTTTGATGATCTAAAGGCAGCCCCGACTGTGCTGTAGTAGCAGCTTGGGCGCCATAGAAGCCTGAGTGAGCATCGAGAATATTGGTGTTGTTTTCTTGCTGCGCACGATCTACAGGAAGCTAATGCGAACATCTGGGTTTGACTAAACAAAAAAAGAGGTATCTTAACATAGGGATTAGTGCAAATAAAAAATGCCTGAAGCTCGAAAGAATGTGGCCCGTGCGAGCCGTGCATAAGACTAGCTTTTATCTTTCAGGGGTTGAGCGGGATTGGTACTCTGGTTTGCCTGAGGATCCCGAACTCCGAGTCCGAGCTAAACGCTAAGCTTCACGGCAAACGAGACGCCGAAGACCCGAATTCATGTGAGCCGCCGGGTTTCAAGACAACATTGAGAATCCTTTCCTCACATTCTTTGGTCACAATTCGGGTATCTAGGCGCCCCACTCGTTCCCTACCGTATATTGATAGTTAACTTTGCCATGTGTGATTGATCATTACATTATCAGGAGTATGGGAGATTTTATGGATTTTAGGAGAGGAGAGAGAGTGAGAAAGGAGTGTTTATTGTATTACTTGAGTCATAGACTTTCCAGCGCATTGGGCTCCTTTCTGTCCCAGGCCACACCTTGTACAATGCTCCTTGCCTCTCATGTTCCTTGAAAGATCATTGATGTATTGCCCTTAGTGAATAGCTATTCAGCTTAGTATCTTTCGGTGTAATTCAGCCACTTTTTCTGCCAAACCTTCTACCCAAAAAAAAAATATATATATATATAAAAATAAATTAAATGGTAGCAATGCAAACTGCGTGCGCGGGAAAAAGTCTCAAAAAAACTGTAGCCCCAGCCAGGCAAGGCCTAGACACCGGAACTACATGAGGTGCGCACATCCATCTATATCTCCCTTCTTTGTAACAGTCGAGGCCGACTTGATCCAATCCATCATTTTCGTATCGGGTGCTGGGTAAGCTCCGGGAACTCATTGGATGACTTATCCTTCATGATCAAGGGTTGTCAATGAGAAGAGCTTCGACTTTACATCTGATCGGATCGCGTTTAGCCTCATGGTAATGGTAATAGGGGAATGTGTTGAGAGACGAAGACGATGCAGGCGGCGAAAGCGATTGAGAATCCTCGTCGAAGTGAGGACTTTGTTACTTAATCTAGGCTCCGCAAACTCTACAGTTAGAGCAAAAGGTTCGTAGGCGACACCACTGACAGATGTTGAGAATAGGCTCCCAATTGAGGTAAAGCGCGCCAGGAAAACATATCCCACGAGGCCATATGTATGGGAATCCTATCGATCACTCGAAAGATCTTGTTGCTGATTTAATCGGTATTAATATTTATTAAGCTGTGCACCATGTTGGGCTTCCCTGGTACATTCGCAACTTGTAAGATGACCAGGTTCGAAAATGGTTCAAGCTTAGCATAGATATTTGCAAAATCGGATGAGGTATCTAGAAGGACTTGATTTATTCCGTCGTTTTTTTTTCAAGAACGGCAAAGTCTGACTTTACGCGATGAATCTTATCGATATTAAATTTTCCCCATTTCAGCTGCCTAATGAGTGGAAATTGAATTTCCTTCAGGAACAATCGGCGTCGTTTTTGGTCGCTATCGAGACGCAGAAACTCTAGTTTTTCGAATATTGGCCTCGAAACTTCTTTTTTTGGTTTGGAAGTGGCAGATTTCATTACAGCTCGGATGGTAGGAACTGCTTTTTGTTGCAGTCTGTTACAAGTTACTATAACCTTGGCGCTTTTTAAAAGCTGGCCTGTCGAAAATAAATTGAGAATTTGCAGAATTCTTCGAATGATCGCGGAGGAAAAACTTCAAACAATGTCCGTAGATATAATCTATATTTATAGTAAAGGCTCGTACGAAAATCTTAATCTTTACTAAAGGGTATAAAAATTTTCCATACAATAATTTCTAGCAATGACATGGACTAGAACGAAATGCTCTTGATAGAATTTAAGGGAACAAACTCAAGATTTGATATTAGTCACGTAGTGTAATTAACACGACATCTTTTCACAGTCTCGAATATTAGACGTGATACAAAGTAGTTGTGTGACTAGCCTCGGATAGACGACACCCAATATTCTTGATAGACACACACTGAAACCACAATCGCAGAGTGTGAAAAATGGCTTCGCGAGATAGGCTGGCTCGAAGTGCGGATGGGGTCTTCTGTTCATGAGAGCACTCGGGAGGGTTTTCACCAGATGAGGAGGGAGGTCGGATAACATGTTGGCCGGGATCATTGCCATGAATTGCGCTATGGCGACGCATATGTAGATTATCATCGAGTCTAGGAATTGTGTTGAAACTAAACTAAGAATATGCAGAGCCCTTCGAGTGATCACGAAGAAATATCGAAGTATAAACTTCAGAGGGTATCCGTAGATGTGAATTATGTTTATAGTAAAGGCTTGATCGGAACTCTTGATCTTTACTAAAGGATATGAGACTGTCTATATACATTGATGTCTGGCAATGACATGGGCTAGAATGTAATGCCTCATTACGGGATACAACGGAACAAACTACAGATCTGATACCAGTTACATGTATTCTTGTTGCAGTCTCGAATATCAGACGTGACAAAAGATAATGGTGTTACTAGTAGCGGAAAGGCGACATCCGACAATCTTGATTGACACATACTGAAACCACAAGCATGGGGAGTGTCTAGGTTAGTTTCGCAACAAATTGTCTGATTGACGCGGTGGTGAAGGGGAGAAGTAATGTTTCGATACAGATGATGGCGGCGGAGCCAGAGTGCCAGGCTTGCCGTTCTTTAGGCGACGCGTCATTTCTCGGCCTCAAAAATTGGTGGAAGCCCTGGCGCGCAATTTGCCCATCTGGCAGCCTTTGGCAGCGACGGATTTGCTGGGGCTACTTGTGATGCAGCTTTCTCCGATCATTTTTTCTCTGTCGGAGAAGATTTTGAGGGATATCATTTCCTATGGGTATCGGAGACAGTTCGAGGAAATTGCCCGGCAGTTTTGACTTACCCGATCATATTAGTGTCGGTCGCAATGGTGTAAGGCAGGACCTTCTCCGTGACTCTCATTTCCACACATTTGGAGACGAAGTAAAGTCGAGCATTTGACGGAGAGATCTTGGGCAATCCCTAAAGTTATCCAAAGTGATATGTTGACGCTTTTTTTCGAACTGGAGTTTTTAAAATGCCTAGAGGTTGGTCACTTTTCGTAGATTAATGCGACTGAGATCAAGAAGGTAGCAAAATGGGAATTCCAGAATTGTGCTTTCCTTAAAAATTAGCGTGCTATACAACTGTTATTTTCCGCAATCTTATAGGAGCTTGAGCATGAATGGGAACGGGTTACGTCTGGTTAACTACTACTAAGTACAAATAACCCTCGTCGCACCTGAATATCCGGACCACTCCAGTCTTAACCCATTTGTTGAACGTGTCTAGTCCAACCGCATTAGGCAGTGGATCACAGATTTAAAGATTATGCGGCTTGTTTAGAAGCAATACTTTGTAGTGACTGATATGTGACTGTTGAGTAAAGCAAGGAAATATGAGAAGGCAAAGAAATAAAATTTCTCAATCTCTCAAACAATGGTGCGTACCTTCAAAGCTTTACTTACGAGAGAGCCTGACTCGACGCAACATATACACTACTTACTGTACTCCTTGAATATTAAGTTGTATGTATCTAATAGTAAGCTCTAATAAGAGAACTATGTGAGCATCATGAAAGCCATTATTCGAGGCTCAAACTTCTAAATAGCCCCTGGCTATCTTAGATATTGCTTTGGGGTTAAGACTAATTTTATCTAGTTCTCTAACACTACAATTTAACAATTGTAGAAAATATATGGTTTTTGGAAGGTTTAACGGCCTTTCTTCTAACTGGCCTGAAAGCTTAACACAACAAAAATTAGCCTCAATATTCGTAATCTGAGTACCAAATTGGTTGGCAATACTCTATAGGAAGAATAGATCGATAGATTAGTCAGAAATTATTGCAGCCAGCTTCTATAAAATTCTGGATAGGAATACAAGGGTTGACCTGCCCTTCCTTTCAGAAAAATCGAAGCATATTCTTAAGAACCATAGCAAAGATTTTTCAAAACTCTAACCCTAATCCAGCACCCAAAGTGGTAATAAAGGTCTAGTTGAACTATACATTGGCATGTTGTAGCTCTTCATGGATCTGAGATATTATCGGAATTACAGCTGTGAAATATGCTGCCTAAACTTAAAAATTGAAAATTGAGACTCGTTGTCGTGCGGATTTTTTGTATCTCCGCAGTAAAGCCATTATAGTAGTAATTGCGGCATGATGGTCGTCATCAGACCTATCTTTCGATAACCAAGACCACCTCATCATCTCTCAACCCAGGTCCGTAGTAAATTCGCGAGCGGATATGTGCGAGTAAATCTCTTTATAATGAGCTTTTAAGCCTGGCTCCCTATTATTTCTGATATTTCGTACTAAATTTTATTGTTATTTTATGCGGCGACAGAGATGAAGTTTAGTCATAACTTCAATGAAGCGTACTTTAATTTGATGTAATCAACAAGGATTTTTCTGATTTAAACCCTGCCTAATAAGATATAGTTTGAAACTTTGCTCCTTTTTCATTTATCAATTTTTTAAAAAACTTTGTAGGAATAATGCGGGTCTTACCAGTTACCAAAAGTCTCAGACCCTGATATGACTAGCGATAAAATTTTATTCAATATCTTAAGCAACATTCCAGCGAGCTTGCTTTGTGGTGTATGCTAGTGCGAGTATATATATATGTTAATACGTTTCCTGCAGTGAGAACGCAATTCAAGATTTGAAGCTGAGTTTCTCGGCAGACTTCAGTGCAAGTACAGTGGTGGCTTCCGCCTCACTCACTCGCCCATGAAGCTCATAGCAGCGTGCAAGCATACCATCGGTAACGCTCATCCAAAGAGGGTTCCCGCTTTTAGCAGCTGTCCGTGATGCAGCTTGAGCGCCATTTTCCGCTTGTGTTCCGAGAACTCCGACGAAAAAGAAGCTGAACATTAATGTGACAGTGATAGACAGTAATTGCAAATTGTTCGTCCTTTTTGTCCCATTTAGTGCTGCGCTGAGGTGATGTTTGATCTCCATCATACTCTTGGGTGGTTCAGTTTTAACTGTTACCATTATCAAGTTAAATGCATTCACAATATCTTGGTTTGCATGGCCTATACATAAAGGCTCTAGCATCTTAATCATCAAGGCGTTTCTGATTAGATCTAGCCTTGGTGGATCTTGTAGAATAGAAAGAGCATTAAGCCTTGCCAAAATTGCTATATCATATTCCATCTGCTCAATTGAACTGATGTTAGAAGGCTTTTCTGTAGGAAGATTGAAACGTGAATCCTGAAATACACCAAGAGCGGCGTCTAGGTCACCACTCCCCTGGTAGAACACGCCTCCTAAATAGAATAATAAGCTTTCTAAATGAGTTGCTAGAGGAATTTGGAAAGTGTCCACTATTCTTCTCAGCTCCTCGAGACATTTTTTAACCTCAGACCATTCAGCACCCAAAGTATGACAAAATGCTAGGAAAATACGTGTGTAACAAAGTACTTGTCCCCGCCACTGACGTTTGGATAGTAGATCCGGTAATATGGCGTTTGGAAGACTCTTTGATGATGATGATTTGATATCGTCTAATAATTTAGTCAAAATAAAATTAGTCCTGCTGGACAAGAAATATTTACCTTCTTTTTCTAGTAATGGCAAAACTTGATTGAGATATTTGAGCGCGAGGAGTCTCTCATTTGTGCTCCTTTGAAGCAAGATTATACCATAAAGCAGACAGCTAGAGTTATCAGTAGGAATTCTCGAGTTCGAAGGTATACGCACGAAATGCAGTAAGTTTCTTTCTGGTCAAAGAAGGTCAACATCAACATATCTACTCCATCCTTTCCGACCCCCAATATCATTCTAGTATCAGTGCTCACTACATGTGAGCTGTTAGGGGTTCTTTTAATAGGGATTGTGATGGTATCACTAGAATTCCAACCCTTATCTCGGATGCTTGCATCTATGGCTAGGCGAGCAGACTGTAATTTATTGAGTACTTGAGGATCTCCTTCTCTGATGCTACAGGCCAAATCTAGAATATGTGCTAGGCCCGTGAGCGGGGCAATGTAGCAGCTGGGATCTGTTTGATGACTCCATACAGAGGCCATAGCGGACTTCAAATTCTGAGAAGCCTCTGGTCCCGCAATCTTTAGATGAGCTATAACTTCCATGAGAGATGCGACCAGATGGATTGGTCTATCACCATGTTTTTCTGCAAGAACTTCAATAGCCTTCAAATTACGCACTGCAGCATTATGCTCAATAAATGTTCCACAAGTCAGGGAGTAAGTGGCACGAAGGAATCGAAAGGCGTATACCCAGGAGATGTTTTTATATCTGTTTAATATTAGGATTTAATTATTAAAAAAGTTGAAATCTCACGTCTCTGCCTCTGAAATCTGAGCATCAAGCGCCTTGATAGACGCCCTAAGATTACTTTTTGCTATACATTTGGCAAGTAAGAAGTGCATAGCATACTTTAGATCATAGTAGTGATTCTGTTTGTGTGAGATTGATCTTTAATATCGGGATTGATAACACATACACGTTCGCAAAGTTCGATACCTTTACTTAGAGTTGTTTCCGCTTCCATAGAATTCTCAGTTTCTTCAAATAAGACACCGGCGTACCTTAGCCGTATACATGCTTCGTCTCTCGGGTCTAGTCCCATAACACGCTTCAGGGCTGTCTCCAAACATCCCAGGCCAGTCGCTACTAACTTTTGGCTCTTTTCTATATGTTTGGCATTCATTGTGCGTGCAGTGCAAGGTGCAAGTATACGGGCAGCCTCAAAGTATTCCTCAGCCATGGAAGTTAAGAGTTTTCCTAGGTCTATTTCTTTTGGGGTAGAATCTGCCGGCATTGTGTTGGAAGGATACTTCATAGGTTGTATGGTAGGCTTTCTGGAGATCGCTTCTTGCTTATTTGCATGTTCATGATTATGTGACATCAAATGTGCTGAATATGACTGCTGAGAGACGGCTTGTGGCAGAGGATGGGACTGGTAAATCTGAGCAAGGCGGCCCTGCGTCTCTAAGTGATGGACATTATTTGAAGTTTCCAACCCTGGTAAACATGGGCGTATAGTTGTGTCGAAAGGTGGGAGTTGATAAAAATGATTAGCTGAATTGTTGTTGTACAGGTCTTTTCTATTGAAATGATCGCCTTGACCTGCCATCGGCTGCCTCGATTTGAAAAATTGAGTTGCAACGGCAGTCTAAACAGCTTGAATCTATGAATCTCCAGGTTGTGGAATTTAGTATTCACCAACGTATGCAACAAACGCCTTGGATTATCAAACTAAAATTTGGCAGACAATGGCAGACCTCAAATCCACACGTCAAAGCTTAATTGATTAGATTGCCGAGGTTATCCATGGCTCGTAGTTTAATTAAAAATTTCTAAAATATACCGTACAAGTAATGTTAGATATTATGCAGCAGATACCTTCGTATCCATTCGCTAGCAGATACTACATCCAAATATATACACTACAGACCCTTATTGAGAATTGAACATGGAGTGGCTAGGAACAGCCCGAACTTCCTTTACACATTCACCCTCTACCATCAAGCTGAATGGGCGCGATGGAACAGAAAGCGACTTATCGACCGTCTGCCGGGAATCAACTCCTCCGTGTAAGCTAAACCCGTTGCTTTTCAATGGACATTTACAAACCATGTGGACTGCAATCGGTAAAGAAGGTCCACATTTACACTACAAGAGGAAGATTTTTGAAGCCAGTGACCAAACTTATGCGGGTACTTTTGCTGTTGACTTTTTAGCTGAACCCTCCTCGGAGACTGACGAAACTCTTCCCATTAGAACTACTTATTTCAGCGACAATGAATTTAAAAATATGAAATCAAGCGGGTTCGAAGATGATCGGCCTATGCTCGTAATATTACACGGACTGTCAGGTGGATCTTACGAAATCTACTTGAGGCATGTCCTGGAACTATTAGTGAAAACAGACGGCGAGGAAAGATGGGAAGCCTGTGTGGTAAACTCTAGAGGATGTGCTCGCCATAAAATAACTAGCAGCATTTTGTACAATGCTAGAGCAACTTGGGATTGTAGACAAACTATTTCGTGGTTAAGGAAAAACTTTCCTCACCGACGTCTATATGGACTGGGATTTTCCTTAGGGGCTAATATTCTCACAAACGTAAGTATCAAGCCTGAAGAGACCTAAATTTTACGCTAACTCCTACAGTATATAGGGGAGGAAGGTTCTGCTTGCATTCTAGAGGCTGCCGTCGTCATCTCGAATCCATGGTCCTTGGAGGTTGGGTCTGCAGCACTACGTAGAACATGGCTAGGTCGAGAAGTATATAGCAAGACTATGGGTGGCAACATGAAGCGCCTGCTAGAATTGCATTACGATTCCGTGTCACAAAATCCGAAATTAGATTTTGAAAAGATACGGAAGGCTGTGTACTTGCACGAGTTTGACCGATTAGTCCAGGGGCCAACATGGGGCTATCCAACAGAAGGTGCTTACTATCGCGATGCTTCTTCAACCGATGCCTTGCTCGCAATCAAGATACCTCTTTTTGCTATAAACGCAGTAGATGACCCTGTGAGTTGTATTCACTTACTGAACTAAAGTTGAAGACATAACTGACAAAAAACAAGATTATCACTAACGAAGCAATTCCATACGAAGAAATAAAGAAGAATCCTTACACGGTCTTATGTACGACATCGCTTGGAGGCCATTTATCCTGGTTTGAAATTGGAGGATTTCAATGGCATGCTCGACCGGTAAGTCAATTTAATATCCTTGACAAGACTACTGAGTGACCGTTCACTTAGACTGTCAACTTCTTAAAGAAGATGGCATTGATGAAGTTTAAAAAATCAACTGAAGAAGATATATTGGACGTAGACGGAAAATATCCGGGAATGGTAATATTTGATCCGATCCGCCGTAAGCTACATGCCTAACTAAGCCTCTATCAAAAAAAACGTACTTAGGGGAAAAAACTATCTAAAATTAACTTTAGTTTCATTTTAATTTTTGATACAAATAAAATAATGAAATTTTTTCTTGTGGTCCAGAAGCAAAAATTGAATGCAGAAGTAAATGTGAGTTGAAGTTATGACAGTCACCCTCCGAACAAAACTCCGTAACGCCAATTGATCGCATGCCCGCAGCCAAGATCAGCTAGGTAAAAGAGACGCTCTTTATCTTTGGTTCCGAACCTTCGTTTTGCTTGGTATTGGTGTTCCCTACCGTCTCACGGGTCTGTCTCTTCCGTTTCTTCCGTATGCTATCTTTTGCCTCTTTGAATTTCGACTTCCGTAATTCTTCTCGTTTTTCAGTTTCCGCCTTCCTTGCTTCTCGAATCTCTTCCATCTGCCGAGCCTTCATCATTTTGCTTTCGATTTGACCTTCCTTCTCGGCATTTACCATCGACAAAATCGTCAACATACTCTCCTAAGATAAAATTAGTAAAGTAGCCCAGTCTCTTATGAATTTTGGTCACAAACACTGTCATCAACAAAAATCTTCCCTTTCTTCTTTCCCCTTGGCTTCTCAACTCCAATAGGAGTAATCATGTTCAACGCTGGAATATCTAGTTCCTCCTCTGTGAAGATTCTTCTTTTTCGTTTTAATGTTGCCAAATTTCGAGCGCCTTTTTGAAGTTTAGGGGGAGGCCCTTTGCTTTTAGATGTGCGTGCGTTGGTTGCAGCAGAAAATTTTGTTTTAGTGTTACTGCTTCTTCCGATACTAGAAGGTTTACTCGGACGGTTAGTTTTACCTGTCGGTTTGCGTGTGGGCGCCATGAGAATTGTCGTTTTACGCAAGGGTTATTGATCCGGCTCTACTTGGGATGCTGATCAGAAACTTCCTAGCTCCGACTAGCCTGGTGCCTAAGGCCGAAACAAACTAAATTTCGATCCTCCATATGACACATCTAGCTTTCCACGCAACTCAAACAGTCTGAATTTGAGTGTATATGCCGCCAACGTCGAATTCTTCACTTTCTAGCGGTGCCGGTGTAAACACTTGGTCTGTTCGCGCATATGTGACAGCCGACAAGAGCCGCAGTCCTTTCTCTCGGGCTCTTAGTTCATCCACGCGATTAATAGTTGGCGTCGTCTCATCACCCCAATCCTCAGCACCTCTTTTACGAAGAACTACCACGACAGTCTCAGAGAGGTAGAGTTAAGGGCTCAACTAAACAAAATATATAAGTGGTAGTAATATCGTTTAAAGAAAGCTGTTGGCATATGTGATGAAGTGCTGACTGGGACCACTTGAGGCAGCTGGTTCAACTCCTACGGACTTATTTTAGACACAACTGCAGCTGCTCGCCGAAAAATAGTACGAGCAAAATAGCCGAGGTGTTCTCTGATAGAATATTTACGAAGTGGATCCCTCGGCCTGTGTCCTAAGGGTAATAGCGAATACGTGCCCACTCATCCAAATCAATTTAACTAGCTGGCTCAAACGCCGATATTAGAAAAAGTCGTTAGCGATTTGGCACTGCTGTATCTCAGAAGATCATGGTTTCTACTTTTTTTTTTAAAAAAATTGTAAAACTTAGTGGGATCTTCGTGTGAATGTCACATGAATAGTCAAAAGATGAAAGCGAATACAAGAATGAATTGATTAATGTTCTTCGTGCTATTAGTCCATCGCAGCACTGTAAATCTGATTCTACCCTATTAACGCCCCTGGTCATCATTACTAGTCTAACTTCTTTTTTTAATTCATATTGTATTCAACTATATAGCTATGACAATTTGTTTCTGATTTACAGCAAAATATATCCTGAACTCTTTTCTTGCGCCTACCCTTTGATCCTTTCTGTTAATGTTTACTTGTTTGTAATGGTCTGACATGCCTGCACGCAGATCGTGCTTTCGCTTTTGGACTGGATCCAGACTTTTGCAAGCATAAGTCTGTTTACGAAAATCATTTCATGTGTATGCAGCTATGACATGTGACCGGTGATATGAATACATGTAGGATGGTTCTTTTGACGTACCTCACTACATGTTTACGACGCTACTTATACCCGCAAGGAGGAAATCCACTCGAAAAATTCAAAGCGTAGGTCATGGCTTGTGGGGGACTGTTGCTCTAATGGGACAAACAACTTGAGGAAGAACAGGCGACTGAGATGTGGAGCTAGAGGGGGGAATAGGTCTCTGAAGAGCATGCTGGGACTGATATTTTCGAGGTGTTATCATCATTGGATTTTTTATGGGCGCCAAGACCGAGATTTTGACTAATTAGCCAAGAGGTCTTCTTTTGTCGATGGGTCAATGGCACTGCCCAGCGCCCTGGACTGCACAAGATGAGTTGGGCTAAGTCACTATACAGCAATCACGATCTGTCAAGACTCTTCTGACATTTCAGCACGGCTTTCAGGATGTAGTTGGAAGAAGGCTAGAAAGGCTGAGGGTGGATTTCCCGAGGTACTCGCAAGTCTACAGCGCCCAGCTGGCCGGCCGCTTCGAACGCTTCAGAAGGATCACTATGTCTTCGGATTTGGTGCTAATGTCGGTATTAGGAGAGCCCCGCACCCAGTGGTTTATGCGATTTTTCCCGGCTGCCATACACCCGCAAATGGCCATCGTTTCGTTGGCTGGAGAGGGGAGACAATTAAGGGCAAAGGGCTCCTCTAAGTATATGATCGAATGAGGACTTGTGAGGGGTGGTACTGTTTGAGGGGAGCTGAATGGGAGGCATAGGAGGAGATATACTACTGGTATAGGTATCCTTGGCCTGTAGGCAGAGAGGACCTGCTTGTCCTACATGGTCATAGACTCAGACAGGACAATAAAATGAATAAAAAAATATTTTGACGTTAGAGTCACTCATACTCTGGGGAGGGCAAGACTGAACACCAGTATGCGGTGTCCTCTACGAACCTGGGAGTGAAATATTCTACCAGGGGCAAAATCAGTCAAATTTCGCAATATCAAAGAAGTTGGCCCACGAGACAAAAATTCAAATTACTCCATGTCAATCTTTCACTTCCAAAGAGTCCGATTCTCAACCAAGCTTCATCAAATCTACAAGTACGACCTAGTACATCCTCATCCCAATGACCATAGCTCTCTACGACCTTCTCTGGCCTCAGTTGACCACCAAATACACGCCCACGCCGATATTTATACTCAACGGAGGAAGCAAAGCGTGGCGCACAAATCTGAGAGACAGTTCTTTGGGATGGACGTGAAAGGGATCAGGACAAAGTTACAAGATGATGCAAAAGAGGGACACATTCTCGACGGGCGTGAAATTTCGAATTTTGGCAAGAGTTTTACGAATTGAGTCTTGTGCGCGCCAAGACTTAGATTTAGAGAGTGCAGCTGACACTATAAACATAAGCCAACGATGGAAGGTGTTGTGGTCCGCCTCCTGGTGGTGTTCTCTAGTATGGTTTGAGTAGCCTGGGCATCTACTCCACCGGGGAAGGAGACATCTCAGATTATATTTCGCGCGGAGAAAAGTTGATGGATGATGGAGCCAAGTCTAGATAACTCAGGGTTTTTGAGACGTTCCCCTGGGTGGGTATTCACGGATTGGGGTTGACTTTGGGTGAAAAAAAAGCCACTGTAACTTTGCAGTGGTACTCGCAAATGTAATCCGAAGCATGAGTGCTCTCCTTTTAAATTGAGTCATCTTTTATATACTTCTCTGATATTGTGTCATAGCTAGATGGTTGCATACGCAATAAAAACCTGATGCATAAAAAGAGTCTTAGACACCAGGACCACCTGAATTTGAATTCATTTAGTCCGATTTGGCGTCAAGGCCTATGCAGGTGTCTTCGAACTCTGATTTTTGTGTGAGGAAACCGTTATGGCGAAAACTCCCTCATCTTTTCAGTTTAAATACACTTTCATCCTGTATCACCTGCAAGAGGTGCACTAACACTGTTATGTCCCATGCGAATACCGTCCACTCCCTTACTTATGGCAGGAGATCATCCTTCCCCTGCTCTCCTCTCTCACCCTCATTGTGACCTCGACTTCAAGCGTCAGTCGAAACTGCTCTAGCCTTCCTTCCTTGTGGATCTATCTAGTTATCCTTGCTATATCTTTGGGGTTATTCATCATGGCCTCAAATGACCGGTTCTCTGCCTTTCTCAGTATTTCTCTTCTACCTTTGGCCCAGCTGGTGCAGGCCATGACCATGTACTTCACATTCTGGGACGGATATCCACATTGGCATCGTGAATTGTCTACTCCTGGAACATTTCTTCTGTGCAGATAGGACTTGAACCCAATGTGTTCGCTTCTTATCTGCATGGCTATGCTGCTCTAGGCCCTGCTCAGGTATTTATGGATACTGGAACGGGACCACATGAGGTACGCATATTCATCTATATTTTCCTTCTTCGTAAAATTAGAGGCCAACTTGATCCAATCCACCATTTCCGTATCGGGTGCTGGGTACGTTCCGGAAACTCATCGAATGGCTTTCCTCCATGATCAAGAATTGGTGATGAGAAGGGCTTCGACCCTACCATATGATTTGATAGTGGTTAGCTTCATGATAATGGTGATAGGGGAATGTGTTGAGGGATGAAGATGAAACAGACGGCGAAAGCGATTGAGAATCCTCATCGAAGTGAGGACTTGGTAACTCAATCTCGGCTCTGCAGACTCTACAGTGAGAGCGGGACATTGATAGGGGACATCATTGACAGGTGTTGAGAATAGTCCCCCTCTTTAGACTTGAACTGCCAATATGACGTTAAAGTATGAGAGAGATTTTCCCGTCAATGGTTGCGTTATGATCTTTAAATCATCGACTTTTAGTTTAATCGAATTAGTTTCTCAATTTCACTGAAGTCGGTAGGTCCAAAGTCTACCTTTAACATGGTAAATATGTTGTGGTCATCTAGCTCGTGTCAGAACGAGGTCTTATTCGGAAAATCTCCCATAATTGCTCACCATCTACCCCGCCAGTTAATAACTTCCGAGGTCTTTGGAGTCTAGTGGCAATACCGCACGTTTGATTCTTGCTACGACGTAAATTTCAATCAATTTGGAAAATGCTGAAGTCAGAGTGAAATTTATAAAAATAAATTCAATATTCTATCTCGGAGCGTCGTACTTCGCAAATTCTACTCCTACAGATTTCAACCTGGGACTGTTAAAGGCTCGGCCACAGTCTCGTTATGGAAAGTAAAAAAGAAGTCATAAAAAGGCCATTTTACGGTGTGACCAACCATTCATCAATTTTAAGGGTAGCAGCGACTCATTATCTCAAGTCTTCAATCTTCCAGAACAAATTCTCAACACATTGACCTACAATGAAGGTACGAAAAATGATCTCAGCGAGTATCCGTACAAAGATGAGCTCGAAAAAAAAGTATCCATATCATGTAGCGAATTGGACGAACAAAAAGACGGTATGGATATAAGCTTTCTATCGGCAAAACTTATTTAACTATTTTCAGAATTTTCAGAAAGCATGTTCGACTCTAATTCGTCTGATTCGGAACAAAAGACAATCAAACTAGAGGGAAAAGGTCCCGAAAAAACTCTAGAAGCTGATATTAAGCTGAACAATCAAATGAATTCTGAGTCAGTTCATCCGGATCTCGATAAAAAGCGTACAGCTAAATCTCCACTGATATGGTTCAATACTTCCATCCTACCAGAGAACACCTATCTCGGGATTTACAGAGCTATATTTACTAATGATAATCAAGAATACGGCTCACTTTTAGTGGATGTCATCAAAAAGAAACAGCTTACGCCCCGCTCAAATGCGAAAATTTATCCTAACCCTAACAACGAAATTTCATCAGAAGATCTCAATCACGACCCTCATTTTTTCCTCTGCATGATTGGTGGCGGACACTTTGCAGCGACAGTTGTGTCCCTCGTTCCAAAGTATACTCAGGCCAAAGAGATCGGACCTATGGTCAAGGAGGTCACAGTCATCGCCCACAAGACATTCCATCGATACACCACCCGTCGAAAACAAGGTGGTGCGCAATCAGCAAATGACTCTGCCAAAGGAGCGGCTCACTCTGCAGGTGCAGGCCTCAGGCGCTACAACGAGCAAGCTTTGAGGAACGAAGTGCGAGTCCTTCTCCAGGACTGGAAAGAAATGATAAATAGTTCAGAACTTATATTTATAAGAGCAACAGGATCCTCTAACCGAAATACTCTTTTCGGCCCCTATGATGGACAAATACTTCGACAGGAAGACCCTCGAATTCGTGGATTTCCCTTTAGCACTAGACGTGCCACCCAAACTGAACTTTTACGCTCATTTGTTGAACTTACTCGAACCAAAATTGTAAAAATAGACCCATTAGCAACTAAAGCCGTAAAACCAAAAACTTCAGAGGAGAATTGTTCATCTACATCTATGAAAGGTAAAAAAAGTGCTACCGCTCCATTGCTCACGGAGGAGGAGGAGATAAATCTACTGCATACATCTCAGATTCAGGCGCTTATTCGACGCCAGCGCTTACCCGCTCTTTTGACGTACCTAAAATCGAACCTCTTATCTCCCGACTTTCGCTTTTATCCTCCAGATATTCCCCAAAACTTTCATGCATCTTCACCCCTTCTGTTGGCATCATCTCTGAATTCTACACTCTTAGTTGATGGGCTTCTATTAAAAGGTGGCTCTGATCCGAGTATAAAGAATGGCGAAGGGAAGACAGCATTTGAAATCGCCGGCGAGCGATCTACGCGACAGGCGTTCCGTGTTGCACGATTTGAAATAGGAGAAGAGAAGTGGAATTGGGAACAGAGTGGCGTACCTTCTGGAATATCACGAAACGAGGCAGAAGCTAGAGATCAGACTGAGAAACAAGAAGAGGAGAAAAAAGAAGAACAAAGAAGAAAAGCTGAAACAGAGCGACTAAGAAAGAAGGATCCTAGCCCAAATACAGGAACCCCACCCATTGGAAAATCTGCAGCAAGGGTTAGAATGGCGGTAACTGGGCAGGGACTAAAAAGTGCCCAGGAAAAGAGAGAAGAGGAAGCCAAGGGATTGACGCCTGAAATGCAGATGAGGCTTGAACGAGAGCGTAGGGCAAGAGCTGCCGAGGCGAGAATGAAAAAAGTAGCAGACAAGAATTAACTATAACTCGAATAACTGAAGACCCAAAGGCAAACGATCAGATTTCCCCCTGAATATTAAATATTTAACGGTGTTTTATTTCTAAATTTTAAGTTCTTTAAGCCCATATTTACCATCTGTAGGGAGGTCAAAATGAAAAGCGTTGCTTTGATTATGACAGGGAATATATGTACTTCAGTCATAATGAAATGAAGCCCCGTCATCTATCTCATCCCCTTCAATGGTAATGTATTTGAATTCACTAGATAAAATTTGATAGGATATCAAGATTTCTTGATGCTTAGGAATTAGGTTTTCTAGTAATATGTATGCCTGCGAAGCAAATAGTGGAACAGCAAACAGTTTAGATCTGCTATGTTAGAATTGTTGGAACTATATTAATTTGTACATCTTCTAGTATTAATTGCTCTTTAATTTGCTCTCCACACATCTGAAGAACTTGACGTCAATGATACCGGGATGGATATTATTTATCACCATCAAGAACATAAAACTTGCTCCATCGGAATGACCGGACAATTCCGGACTTCACTAATGTTTTAAGTTGTGCTTAGTCCTACTACCCACATAACCCACTATGAGTCTATTTAAGCTTTGGCCACAATGGGAGAGGCAATTTTGATGCATTTCTTCGTCTTCTATCACTAAGCTGCAGCTTCATCAAAACTATGCAGTAAATTTTGATTAAGAACTGTCTTTATCATTATGAATGAAATTCCGACTGCGAAGTATATATCTCTTCGTTATTTTTTTCCTATATTACTTCATAGAATAATTGAATCTTCGTAAGGACTAAGGCAGCCGGCCTTCTTTATGATATTTATATAATGTACATTAGTTACAGAGGCAGAAAATATACTGATATCACTCAAATAATGAAAATAACGAGGACTGAGAGAGTTTCTTGAAGGTGAGTGGTGTAAAAGGGGTTAAATACTCGTCTTCAACTCAATAGATGTTACTAATCAGAGGGATTTAGACGCACTTTATTGAAATGGTAGCTATATTCAATTAATTATTTAATCACCTGTATCACGGTTTGCGTTTTGACGCTGGAGCGATCGAGTTCGCAAAGTGATGTGCGAATAAGCATAAAGATTTCATTTTGTTAAACTATAAGAGTGTTGGTCAAACACAATCCTCCCTGTGCCTTAACATAATAGAGTTATCATTTGATATGATATGATATTATTATTATCGTGACCGGGTACTACCCCAGCACCTAGAGGGCATATTACGGGTTATCTTGATCTACAGGACCCTTCGTTACCTATATTTTTGTTTCTTAGAAACTAGGAACGCAAAACAAAAATTAAAAATTAAAACATCATTTCTAAGGTATTAATGCCCTGCACTGCACCTTAATTCTCGTACCACGCAAATCGGTCCCAAGAAGCATTACAGTTGATCATTTAAACTCCCAGTTTATGATTCATTCTTGCTCTAACATTTAGTTACCGTTAAAAAGCGCCAGAATATCTGCCAACCTTCTTGCCCTATCATATCCCTTCTCGTGGGACGTAGTTCCTTCGCTTCCGTCCGCCATTTCTGGATAGCCAGGCGACATTCTACAAAACACAATGGCCGTTTTTCTCGGTCGCATTTGCAAAGTAAATCTAAATTCTAGTGTTGGAACCGTCTGTGATAGCCGGTGAAGTCACCATGCCCAGTCCTTGCTGCGATGAGGCAGTGATATGCCCATCGAGGTAGAGCTAGCTCCGGGGGGCGTTTTCTTCGCATCAGTAGGTCCAGATCTTCATACCTATCCGTTCTGTTATTATGCCGTCAATCTCCCGCCAGTTTCTATACGCGGATTGTGACTTGGCGCTTGAGAGCTGCAAATTTCATGACTTCGTGAGCTTCCTCCCAGATGATCTTAGGTCTCGGTAAATTCCCTTCCCTAATCTTTGCAGCAAGTGCTGCCTTTGCTATGGCATCGGCCCTTTCGTTGCCTAGTATGCCGCTATGTCCCGGGACCCAGCAGACCTCTATGGCTGGTCGGGTCTTGCATAATTCCCAAAAATTCATTACCTCTACTTGCGAGGAATTTGTTCTGCTAGTTTTAAGGGCTCTAATTGCCTCATGATTGTCGAGGAGTACCTTAATGTCTATATTCCCTTCAATTTCTAATACCGCCTCAAGACCTCGAACTGCCCTCACGATTTCCGCATTAAAAATCTCAGCTCCAGGAAGGAAGTTACTACCGCTCGCTATGAGTTCTTTATCCATATCTATGGTGTAGCCATAGGCTGAGTATGCTGGCCGGTCGATGACCCATCAGAGTCGATACACAGCGTGCCTGCGGGAAGATTTCTAAGCCATAGCTTAATCCGCTTCGCCTTTTCCTCCATGTCGCATTTGACCCCGGCTATAGCAATCGCAATCTGCAATCTATAGAGCTGCCTGGGACCTTCTGATTCTGTTAGTGTCGGTATATCACGGGTATTAAATGTGCTAGCACAATAGGTTCTGAATTTCAGAGGGGTTAGTCGTTCTTCTCTATTCTCTATCTAAGCTATCTAGTGAGAGTTACCCTATGTAGATGCCAAGGCGCTAGTGCGATCAATACCCGTACATGAGGGCCTACACTTCAGACCAATCAGAGGGATCCAAACACTACTGCTACTTAGTGGGTGATATGATTGTCTCTAAATAGCCATATTTTCCAACATTCGCAAGTCTCTAAAAGAGACAATCATTCTTATTTATGAAACTGAATTAAAATAGTAGAAGTTTTTCAAAGTTAAGTGTAATTGCTTCTGAAGTTTAGTCCGGTAGCTTTCTCACCTTCTCCTATCCACCAATCCTTGTAATCTACATTCTAGTTTGTTTGTTTGTTTCGAAAAGTCGTTGTAAAGCTGTTGTCGGCTTTTGTTTAGTCATAGAGTCCGCTGGATTGTCTTTCCCATGGATCCAGCGGATCTCGGCCAATTCTCTACGCTCATACGACTCACGGATGGCCATAATATTAATCATGAGGCGTTTTTCTTTGGTGGTGCCGAGTTTCACGAGGCATTCGTGTAGACTGAAACTATCGGTGCAGATGATAAGGGGTACTGTGGGTAGACCGAGCTGGGCAACTGTCTGATTGAGGGTCGTGCAAAGTGGGATAGCAATATCTATGCCTTGAGTCATAGCATAGAGTTCGGAAGCATGCACTGAACGTGTGACTCGCTTGCACTTCGTAGAACTCCAATGAATTAAATTGCCATGGAATGTGAAGGCGTTCCTACCGCGCGTTTTATTTCCAAGAGCTATTACAAAACCAATTTGTGATGTTAGATCTTTGTTATTAGCAAGGGGTCCGTCCACCCAAGTATATAAAGCCAGACCATCGTCCAGATTTAAATCTACATATCTCAATCCGGCACTGGGATTATTCTTTTGAGTTTGAAGGGCAATATTTAAATCCTTTATTTCTTCGTTCCCTGGTTCCTGGAATTGTGCCGCTTGAGAGAGCCTAAACGTAACGAGCGGTTGACAAAAAGAGGCGAGCCATGCTCCAAGTGCTCGCATTTTCTTGTAGGTCGTGAATCAGCCGGAATCCTTGGGGTCAATGAGGTCGATTTTGTTTCCTTGACCATTTTATTGAATAAGTAGAGTGTCGTCCTTCAGGGAAATAATAAGGCCATTGAAATTTAGGGATACGTTCTCCGTAAGGCGACTTATATCCTTAGCCTTAAGTTTGGCATCTTCAAGCTTGACAAAATCTTCTGTTCCAATAAAAAGTGTGTCATCTACTTGCATTCCAGTGACACCAAATTCGTTTCCATTGGATGTAATTAGCAAGCATGGATCAAAGCATGAGGGTTTCATGTTGAGCATTTCCTTCAGATGCTTGAAGTAGGTATCAAACCAGTGGTTACCAGCCTCTGGTATACCATATAGCGGCTTGAGAATTCGCATGATAATCCCTCGATCTAAATTAAAAGCTCTGACGACTTCTGGAGCAAGCCAAAAGAGAATATCTCTTGTTAAAGAAGTTTTGGATTGCGTGTAAGCTTGCGAGATATCTCGAAAAAATAAGACGTGATTAAACTTTCTTATTAGGGTAATAGCAAGTGCTAGAATTAGTCGCACACTTGCTCGCTGCACAGTTGGAGATTGTGTCAATATCATGGATTTATCTTTGTCGTTGTAAGCTTGAACAACTAGCCTTGATTTCTCAAATGGGGCAATAGTCGTTTTACCTTTGATAGTATTAACCATTCTCGAGTTAGAGATTCGCTTGTCGACCATGCTTTCATCGAACTGCTTAAATTCGAATACACCAGATTTTATCAGGCCTTCAATTTCCTGTTTTGTTGACGCCTCAAAAGGTTCACCAGGAGTGCGGATTAAACCTGCTGCCCTGAAATTCATCGAAATTTTTAAGGCTTCCTGCTCTTGTGGCAACATAAAAACTTGAGATGAATCATTCTCTGTCCCTGTATATTTACAACACTGGTATTTAAATTGGTGGCGTCCATTAAACCGTCCTTCTCTGTGACTTCGACGAAGTAACGGTGTATGGAGTTACGCATTAGGAAGAGATCGGGACTGATTTGATAGTTGAATATCAAGACTTTGATTGGATAAATCGCACTGTGGCTTCTGATCGTCCTGTTTTGTATCTCGCTGTTGGCAGAGATTGTCCGGATCATCATCCTTATCAAACCATTTACCAACAGACGTAGAGCGGAAATTACAGTGCTTGCCATTGATATTAACTGTAATTGTTTCTTTATTTTTGTCAATCAAATTCCACGGTCCGGTCCACAATCCCTTTTTGTTATTGCCTTCACGCCATACTCGCACTTGACCTCCGATTGGAACATTTTCAAGGTGAGAATGTCTAGGCCCGTTACGCATGTTGGCAGCTTGTTGGACCATCTGACTGGCGCGATATCTTCGAAGCTCAGCCATAGCTTTCCTGATACTATCTGCTCTGTGGATGGCAGTCGGTGAGGGTGCATCATCCCATGTGAGGCGCGGATAGGCCCCGAAGACGCAAAGGGTGG